GCTTACCTTTGGGCTACTGAAGTTGCTGCTGCCATGAATGCCAAGGGTCCAGGGCATGAAGAGGATTTTTCCCAAGCTGTCATCCCCACCTTCCTACCCAAGCTGCTGGCACAGTGTTGCCAAATTTTGAGCCAGGCTTGCACTGCCCTCTTGCACTGGGTTGTGCAGGTCAGGCCGTGAGTACCCCTAAGGCCTGTAGAGCACCCTGAGGAGACTGTGGCCACTTGAATCCAACTGAGCAACAGAGCTGGGAGAGCTAGGAGAGCGTGAAATCCAGCAGATTTACTGTAAGCAACTGGAGATCTTAAGAAAGAAAACAAGCAGCTTGAAATCAAGTGGATAAAAAGAACCTCCGCAAGGCTCTGCACACAGCCTAGGGAAAACAAACCTCAAAAGCCGTTTTATGACTGTTCTTTGGAGTGGTTGGGCTGTGACCAGTGGATATGTTTGTATCTGCCCAGCCCATGGCGCTCCAACCTGTCTCTGCTCTGGGTTAGGAATGACATAGGGACATTGGTGTAAGGGTGGCTTCTGGCCCTCAGGATACACCCACGGTCAGAAGGAAAAGACAACTTGCCCTCTTTCTCTTATGCTCACAATCACACACAATCATTTCATCCTTTGCACAACTTCAGACACCAACACCCACCTATGTCTCCCAAACGCACACGCGCGTGCACACACACACACACTGTGTTTGGAACACAATGGATGAATCCTCCCTGCCCAGCACTCTGCATGTCCTGGTCAATCAGCATTTAATGTGAGACACTGTTATCTCTTAGGCTTCCATTTTTGATGATTCCCCAAAATGGTATCAGATGGCCCTGAAACCATCAAAGGATGCTCTAGCAAAGCTGACTTAGAACCAGAACAGGCAGGCTTTCAGCCATCATCTGTACCCAAGGTTTTTGTACAAAGTCTGCAGAGATGGGGCTTCTCCAAAGAGGGGTCTCCAGGATATGGCAGGGAGCAGGGCCAGGACCCACACCCACCCTACCATTCTAGACAGTCATCCTACTACATCTGTTTCACACAGAAAGCTTCCAGATTTTTGGAAAAACGAATGAGATTTAGTTTCACTACAGTGAAAGTTTAAAACATACTAGCCCCCACTCCTCAGCCTCCTGGAATAAAGCACCCAAGACACACGTTGGGTCAGCCTGGCTTGTGGGCAGCAGGCTGAGAAGGGGACTGGTCACCCTGTCAGGCCTCCCTGCGAAAGCCAGTGACGGTAACTGAGCTGCATGACATCTGCACCTGCATGTCCAAGTCCATAAAGAAAGGCCTTTGCCATATGCTAACCCCCAAGGTAGCAGATGGAAGGTGTCATTTCCGAGTCCTAGGACCACTGCCCAATGGACCACAGCTAACAGTCAGCAAAGCCAGGTCTCACCTGAGAGTCAAGGCAAGATATTGGGAAAGGAGCCAAAGGATGCCCCCTTATAGTACAACATGATGCTGGTGGCAGGGGCAGTGAGAAGGGACACTTCCAGGGGCACCACTTTGGAAGGCAAGAGAGTACATTCTTCATGGGGCCTGGGCAAGTGCCAGGAATGCCACCATGCCACAAAAAGTCATTTCAGTGTGACTTCCTCAGGATCCAAGCAGCACTGGGGCTGCCCCAGCTGCTCCTGTCCACATTGTCACTCCTGTCTTTCCTTCCCAGGACCCTCCTAGGACTTCATACCTCAGGCAGTCCCATGAGGGCATACACAATGGACCTGGAGTAGCCCCACAGGTAGCCCAGGCTGCCCAAGAGCCATCCTGATTCTCTCCAACCTTTAGTCTAATTAAATGTTTTTTGACTAGTGAACAGGTTAGAAAATGATGGTGTCTCCTCAGAGTCATCTCTCCCCTGCACAACCCAGTTAGGGCCTGAGTCCCCACCTGGCCCTTTTCGGGTCCCTCCAGACAACAGCACTCAGTGCTCAGGGCTCACCACTGCTCAGGAAGGGCCTGTCAAATATGAGTGTCCCCACAGAGTGACCTTTGTGAGTTCAGGACATCCCCGAAGCTATGTCTACTGAGGAGGCTTTGTGATCTCCCACCTAGGCACCAAGACAAGCCTGAAGCAGAGAGGGACAGAGAGGCCTGGTGCTGGCAAAAGCCGCTGCTTGAAGCTGACACCTACCAAGAGACTTAGCAAGAGCCATGCTGAGCACAGCCCATCTCACAAGGCAAGAGTCCTTAGCCCACCTCCCAGAGACAGAAGCTCTGGCCCAGAAGAGCAGCTGGGCCTGACACCAGGTCTATCTTACTCCCAAGGTCAGAAATATAAACAAAAAAAGTTGGCTGGGCCAGCCTGCTGAGGGAGTCCTAGCTGCCAGTTGTACTCACTGCATAACCTTGGGCAGACCACTCATCAAACTCGGCCACAGTGACCACAGACACACATGATAGGTTCCTGAATGGATGTCAAGACAAAGGATCAGGCACACAGGATGCTGCATAGCATGCTGGCTGCCTTCAATCTCACTGTTTTTTATTTGTTTGTTTTGCAGTACTAGGGTTTGAATTCAGGGCCTCACGCTTGCTAAGCAGGTGCTTTACCACTTGAGCCACTCCACCAGCCCTGTTTTGTGTTGAGTATTTTCAAGACATGGTCTCTCAAATTATTTGCCTCAGATGGCTTCACACCATGATCCTCCTGATCTCTGCCTCCTAAGTACCTAGGATTACAGGCGTGAGCCACTGGTGCCCAGCTTTAATCTCACTGTTGACTGGCCTGTCCTCTACATTGTCTTCTAAGGATAATGGGTCGAGAGAGATCCCAGGGGTGAGACAAAACCCAATATCTGGGGCCAACACCACAGCAAGCTTTTGTTTGGGTCCTTGAGAAAACAGAGACCCAAGCCATCCCATCCTGTGCCAGAGGCCTCAAGACATCTGCCTGAAGGGCCCAGGGAATATGTGCAGGGGCAATGGGTACAGCTGGACTGTGCCTTTGTGTGTGCATGTCTATACATGTCTGTGTGTGTACATATGTGTCTCTGTGTGGGTGTCAGTATATATCCCATGTTTCTGTGTATGCGTGTCTGCATGGGTTTCGGTGTGTTTTTGTGTGCTGTCATATGTCTATGTATCTGTGTATATGTTTCTGCATGTGTCTCTGGGTATGTGTGCACATTTGTGTATCTCTGGGTAGGTGTCTACGTGTGTCTGTGTCTAGTATCTGTGTATTTGAATGTATCTGGGTGTCTTGGGTGTCTGTGTTTGCATGTGTCTCTATGTGTCTGTGTATCTGTGTGTGTCTGTGTATCTATGCATGTTTCCATGTGTCTCTGTGTCTGTATGTATCAGTGTACCTGTCTGCATGCATCTCTGTGTGTCTACATCTGTGTGTATCGGTGTATGTGTTTACGTGTCTCTGTGTATGTGTCTGCATATGTCTTTGTGTACCTGCATATGTCTCTGTGTCTGGGTGTATCTGTGTGCATGTGTCTGTGTTTATCTGTGTACATGTGTCTATGTCTGTGTATGACTGTGTTATCTCTGTGTTATGTGTGGACATGTGTGTGTGTTGGCAGGTCTGGAACCTCAAGCCCAACAGCAGGAAACTGTGCAGGTCCATCCAGTGGGGCCGCCTTTCCCACATCAACCGATGCCAGAAGTGCCACAGCCTGGACAGGGTCCAATCATTTCTGGACTGGGTTGGATGGGACAGGGAGGGGCAGCAGCAGCAGCCTGAATCCTCCATCTCTGGCCATTGTGAAGTAACCTGGGTAGATGAACCCAAGGTTCCCTCCAGAGGGGAAACACGAGTGCCACCAGGAAGACTGCTCCTTCTCGGTGATCCCTCAAGCATGGAGCCCTGGGCCTCAAGGCCAGAGACCCCTACAGAGATGTTAAAGCTAAGGTCAGCACCACCGGGCCTGGCCCCAAGACCATCGCTTCCCTTGGTGAGACCAGAAGACCCTCACCTGCCCCGCCTGCCTAGGGGTTGGCAAGCCAGGCCTAGGAGAAGGTGGAGCGGCTTATGGTCTCCATGCACGTGAGCCCACATCAGGAATAAATCATATCATTATGGCAGGATTAGAAGAAAATGCCATTAGAAAGGGCTGTGCACACAGCAATTTAATAAGGTCAGTAGCAGCAAGCAGCAGGCAGGCCAACACATGAGGCTGCAGAGCCCCGCACCCTTCCGCCTGCAGCAGAGACCCAGGGGAGTAGCAGGTTGACAGGCTGGGCTACAACAGGGAGCAAACATCTCCTTCTGCCATGCTCCCCTGCCTGTACACCTCAGAGAGCCATTTAGGAACTACTTGCCCCAAACCTGCCAAGAGCTGCTCCCAAACCCTCCCTGCCAGCCTCCCCCCAAAGTCAGATCCCCTCCCCAGAGCTCCAGGGCCCTTTGGATCTGCCTCGGCTTGGAAGAAATAGGGCAATCAATTGTGCATCACAACACTATTCATGTGTTATTAATCTGCTGTGTTCCTAGTGCCAGAATGCCCAGGTGACAGCTAGACAAGAGTGCCTAGAAAGCTCTTGGGGAACAAGCTGCATGGAGGAGCTCAGCTGTGGGGCAGTTTAGGGGGCCACCGAGGATCAGGATACACAAGTGGGACTCTGCCAGACAGGGTCCCTTCCTGCACCCACTCATTTACCTGCTTAGACACTGGCCCTGGGTACCAGCCTTGACTTTGCTGACAGTGAGACCTCTACTCTGAGCTCTTGGGAGGTCTGAGTCATCTCCTTGGGCTCAGCCTCCACTGTCCACCCCATGTACATTTGGCAGGGAGTTCTTCCTTGTGAGGGCCTAAGTATGCACATATTATAATCTCATGCAAACTCTGGGAGAGAGGGAGGGGGTCCTCCAGTTGTCCCCGTACATATGGAGAAGTCACAAAGAAGACTGCCCTGCTCCTCTACCAGTTGACTCCTCACAGCTTCACATATCCTTTCAACAACCTCCATGGAGCTCACTATGCGTCAAGCACCAGGAGCAGCAGGGAGGCCCAGCCCCACCCACCTCAGGAGGAGGGGAAGTATATACTCACAGCTTTGGGGACCTGGACAGGATGGCAGACAGGGTAAGCAGGATGCAGCCGTATGGGCCTGCTTCAAACTGGGGGAGAAGAATAGAGTGAGGACCCGTCAAATACTTCACCCTCTCTGCCCAACCATTCTGCAGGACCTTACCCAGTGAACAGCCTGCCTCAGGCCCATGGCCTTAACCTGGCCCTAGAGGTTGGGTGGTGGTCACACGACAGACCCCCTAAAAGACAGGGGTGCCCCAGCCTGAGCAAAAACGGGAGCAAAGCAGAGATGGTACACAGGTTGCCATGGAACACATCCATGACCTTGGAGACCCTGAAGCCCACTAGACAGCAGCAGTGACAGCAGGCTTCATTCCAGTGCCAAGTATCTCAAAGCCACTGTCACATTTGATCCCCTGACAGACTGGGATATGAACTGTTATTACTGACTTCTTCCAGGTCAGAGACTGAGCAACTTGCCAAGGTCACGCAGCTAATCAGTACAGTACAAAGAAAGCCGGGGCTCCACCTACTGCCAGCTCCCCATGTGGAAGCAATGGACCTGGCAGACAGCAGCAGAGGTTGGGGTCAGGGTTGAGGGAGGTGAGCCATAAGAGTGCAGCTCTTTTTATAAATTTCGGTATGTTTAAAATATCACATTTTTGACATTTTGTTCACTGTGGATTTTCTGATCGATTTTGATGTTTTCAAAATGTTCATGCTGTCTTCTGAGGTTACTGCGCCCCTTTAAATTTGCACCTAAAGCAAGCGTCCTTCTCTTCAGCCCCTGGTTTAGAGCCATGTACTGGGGCCTGGATACCTGGGTTTAAACCCTGGCCCTGAGACGCCTGGCTCTGTGACCATGGGGATATTTCCTACCTCCTCTTCCCCAGTCTTCTCCAGATAAAACAGGAATAATAATCATCACATCCACCTTCAGCAAGGGCTGTGAGGAGTGAACCAACAGGGCTGGCACTGGTGGTATTGGCTGTATGATGCTGGCTCTTCCTTGCCCACCTGTACAGCAAGCCCAGGAGGCCAGTCAACTGCAATGGACTATGGACATCTTTGCTCCCTGGAGAGTCCCTATTCTGCAGCTGCAAGTCAGTATGAAGGTATTGCTCATCCCATTTTGGAGACATGAACTGTGGTTGAAGATGCTACCTATTACAATACTCAGTATTCTTTATATGTGATCAATTTCTTTTGGGACTTAATAACAGAAGGGGGAAAAAAGCCTGTTTCTCCTAGAACAGCCAATGAAAATTATATAATTTATCATATTTCCACTTTTTTGCATTGGCTACCAGGAGGCTCAGGAACCAAATATTATTTGGTAATTATTGCAGCTCAAGCCAATTATCTTTTCCTCAAAATTTAGTCTTTATTTTCATCCAGTAATTTAATTAGTCAGCTAATCAGTCATTGTTTTAAAAAGCCACTAAGTGAAATTTTTGTGCCAAGAGGATGCCCCCTGCTAAGGCTTCACTTGTGAAACAGGTAGACATGATCTCCTCTGTCAGGGATGTGACTCAAGGAAGAAAGAACAGCAAGCATCTTGGAAAGGGTGGAGAAGGAGTTCAGTCAAGATGGAAAGGCAAGCTTCTCCAGAAACACACACAGGAGGGCCTTCACACAACGCTGCGCTTGGGGATGGAGGGTAGCGAAGGAAAAGGCCTCTGGAGTGACATCTAAACAGAACTACAAAGAGTAGGAAGCAGAAGTGAAAACCTCTTCAGGAAAGAAAAGCCTATGCAAAGGCCCAGAGGCCAGAGGACAAGTTTACTATGCTGAAGCAGAAAGGAGCCCCAAGGACATCCTATTTTATAAACAACCTCAAATTGTATTTGAGAAACACAAGTGAAATAAATGAACCTACAACAATCTTAAGTCAACTGCAATCTCAAGCCAGTCATGTATTTCTGCTGCCCTCAGTTTTCCCATTTGCAAAATGAAGATAATGACCCTTGCCTATTTCCCTAGGTCATGGTGCACATTGTGACACGTGTCTGTGTAGGTCTGGTGACTGCAGAGTAACACTGCACCCCACCCAGGGTACACACACACAGCAGGACGCGAAGCTGCAGACCATGTGTCACAGCTTGTCTGCAGGTTTGCACAGGGCCTTAGGGAAGTCACAGAACCCTCTCATCTCTGCATCCCTTTCTGGAATGCCAGTCTCCTTCCGCAGTCTTGGGAAACCTCAGAGCTCTCTGGGTCTGTCTCCCCTTGGTCACGCCCACAGTGCTTGCTGATCTGCAGGGCCACAGTGAAGCAACAAAGACAGCGGCCTATTGTACATCGAACTTGCTGGCAGACACAAGGCTATCAATGCTGCTCATTCTGGTATCCCCAGTCCTCGAACCACCTCAAGGCAGCTTGCCCTGAGTCCCCTGTACAGGGTGGGGAAATGGACCCTGCTTGGTCTTCTTGTCCCCATTGGAACACAACTAACTGGCTTCCATTTTCCATCTTGCTTTTTAAAACATTTATTAAAATTATCTCATCAAACTCAAGCTGCCAAGACTTGGGAGAGCAACATGTGGCTTGACAGGCGAGTTCAGCAGGCGGCTAGGCCGGAAACCATGGCTAGGGTTGGATGATGTCTGGTACCATTCAGGAAGAAAGGGTCATTCTCCCCATATGGCTCTGCAGCCCTGGGAGACCTGGGCCCAGCACAGGGCTCCAATGGGAGGCAGGGAAGTGGCACCCCTAGCTTGGCCAGAGCTAAGAGGTAATGAAAAGCAAGCTATTTACTTTGGACATTGATGGCTTGGTGTACATTTCCAGGCCTGGCAGAGGAGGCCCTCTTGGGCCCAGTCCATGAAAAATGGATTTGGTGAGCCCAGTGCTGAGGCAGCTCTGCTACATCCAGCAAAAACATAAACTAAGCTGCAAAGGAAATGCTGCCTACCAGAGGTACGCAGGCCAATGGACCGGCCCTGTGCACCAAGGGCCAGCACCGGCAAGGAGGTGGGATGCCTGGTACAGTGGAGCACTGGAGGAAGGGCCCAAAACCACCAGCAGCCCCACTTCCTGAATCCCTTTCTTGGTTATTATCATGCTTAGGATTTGTGGAAACTCTGGGGCATTGCCCAAGGACACAGAGGCCTGGCCCACCACCAGGGACAGTGAAGAGGCCTTAGAGCCAAAAGCCCATTTGAGTGTTTGCCCCAAGGTCCCTCCTGGGTGTCCAGGAGCCTCACTGATCACTTTCCCTCCCATCCTGAGTAGCTCGTGCTCACCCTACCCTCCATCCTGGTTACCCTGGTGAAACCCCCATGCAATGGCCATCAGACTCAGCTCTGCCTTCAGGGGTGCTTGCTGCAGTCTCACAACACTGGATTTAATACTCTTGCTGCTTAGTCAGCAGCTGTGTGTACTAGACTGGGAAAACATCTTCTGCAGCATCGAGGCTCTTCTTTGAGAACCATCATTAGAACCAGAAGATATCTGACAACTGTGCATCTTCCATTTGCCAGAGGAGAAAATTGAGGCCCCGAGCCTTTCCCAAGGCTACCTGTGACTCAGCAGTAGCAGAAAGATCTCAGGTCTTTGTGCCAGGCCTTCCCTTTGCTCTGGGGAAGTGGGGAACATGTAGCATCTGCAGAAAGCCCTCTGGCTTCCAAGGAAGAACCAGAGGTGATGGGCGGGGAACAAGTGACAGCCAGCCCAGGTCTCCCAACTCCTGGGCCACATTCCCTCTCCCAAACCTCACAGGAAGGCTCAGTCTGAAATGAAGCTACCCCAATCTGGGCACCTGCACAGGCCCTTACCTATCAGGTCACAGCTCTGGGATGGAAGGACTTCACATGAACCCCCACACCTGCGTCCCTATTCTCAAGAGCAGCCTGCTTTCTCCCCAAGGGAGTATATGGTACTGCTGGACCAGGATCCCTCCCAGGTTGTGCCCAGACCTTCGGGGAGAAGTGCTGGGGAGGGCATCTAACAGCAGGAGTTTCATGCCTGGTCCCTCTTCCAACAAGTTCTCCCACCCTCCCTGCTCACAGCTAATACTCCTTCCCTGGACAGAGCAGATCCCACAGTCAGAGGGCTGAGAGGCAGCCGAAGGGAATCTGAGAGCTGCCTGTACACCAGAAGGGAAGGCTTACCGTTCCTGCTTTCCTCCCATCCTGTTCCACAGAAGTCAGGACCATGAGGCTGGCCCTGGCCTTCACTGAATCCTCCCTATGTAATGTTTCCCTCTTATTTTCACACACCAACAACCAGTTCACCCCAAGGTTGCCCTAGATCATTATGCAATGGTGACCGCAACATCAACAGGTGTGAACCATAATGTAGACACCGCTCCAGCCCAGGTACTCTGGGCCCTATGTGCTACCCTGAGGCAGGTATGGCTATTATCGCATATGTCTGACAGATGAAGAAACTGAGATAGAGGGGTTCAGAACATTGCCCAGGGTTGCAGAGCTACTGAAGGTGTAACCTGGACCCAAAGCCAGGCTGACTGGCTCCAGAGACCAAGTCCTTTGTTCCTAGGATATGCACCTCTCCTCCAAAAAGCCAGCAAGCTGCAGCCCCACTGGGGATTCCCAGAGCCCTCTGGCTGCCCTGTACCCATCTCTCTACCAGCCATGGCTGTTCAGTCTCTTGGAGCACAGTATCTTGGGGAGACCAACCCAGCCTCCCCAGAACACTGGGAAGGTACTATGCCATGCAAGGTCCCCATCAGCAATGCCTGGCCTCCAGCTCCACCCAGGAAGCCTCTTCACCTTCCAGCGGGTTCTCAACCCACTCCCTGACTCAAGAGTTGGACCTCCTGAGGCAGCTGCCTGCCCTTGGACAGAGGGAAAGCCTTGCAGCCATTTCCCTTCTTTTTGACCTCAGACCTGCTCACTGCAGTCCCCAGTTGCAGGTGCTCCCTGCTACTGATTATTATTAGCCCACAGGACACCATGGGGAATCTAGGGACCCTGAACCAGTCCACTCTACACTAGCCCACATCACCCATCTCCCTCAACCTTGCCATCCAAGGGCTAGATGGGGTCCAGCCCAGTTTCTTTGCCATCCCTCCCTGGGTGGGGGAAACAGGAAGGACAAGTCCAATTCACAGGGCATCTTCTACAATGAAATTAGAAGGCTTAATGATGTCCATGCCACAAAGCTAAAACACTGTTCATACCTGTTGAACACTATGTTGGAGAAAAGTCACCAGATCCTCAAAGCAGGTCAAACTGTGAAGCATGAGCTGAGAAGAAACACACACAAGGTGAGATACATACCCTACCCAGGGTCAGCCTCAGCAGCTGCCTTCAGTTGCTACCAACCCCATGGGAGCTGTCACCAAGCAGAGAGGGGTGCCCCAGTACCTGAGCAACTTAGGGATGCCCAGTGCAGCTGGGGTTCCAAAGCCAGTCAGCCCTATAGCAGCCCTGGCCTGCACTCAGAGCCCCCAGGACTCCCAGCATCATGGGACTAAGGCATGGGATCCAGCATCAGGTGAGTCACAGTATTTGAGAAGGGGAGATGAGGGTACCATGTCAAATCTCAAAAGCCAGGACAGGTTCTGAGTTCATGGGAAGCAGCACTTGTGGGGCCCCTTTGCTTGCTCAGTAGGTCAGGAAGAAACTTTTAAAGACAACATTCAACAAAGTGTTTGAATGCTTTCCATGAGGGTCCCAGGGTCACATGTGCCCATAGTAAAATCAAATGAAACCAATTTGTTATAACAAAAGTTCTCAGTGAAAAGGTGGCAAGTTTCGAAAATTTCACTGTGTTACTGTTTGCGAAATGCAAAAATGTACATCTCTCATTTTACTCTCACCTCACCTTGCTTAGGTCCGGCCTTGTGGCTGATGCTCTAAGCCATTCCCCGCTTCCAAACTTCCTCTCCCTCTCTGGGCTGCCCCCACTCTCCCTCCTATAAGAATCCTAGAGAAGATGCTGAGGAAGTAGGAAGAGAGCTGAGAAGGCCAGGGCTGCATGGAGACTATGGGGGGAACCTCACCCTGGATATCCCCCAGGTAACAGGGAGCCCCGGGCCTTTTGGCCACAGAGCCAACTCACAGCCACCCATCTCAGCCCCACACTCAATCCCAGACAGGAGTCTGTGACCTGGGCTGTGGAAAGGTCCAGCCAGCCCCAGCTGGGGAGGATTTACTTATATGAAAGAAGACAGTCCCCAAACAAAGCCAAAGGTTGCGTGATAATTTTCCAGAAAGTCGTACTGTTTCTAAGACTCCATCTGCTTTGTATTTCCCTGTTGGACTGAACTGCTGTGTTCCCGAAGCCCTAAAAAGGAAAAGAAGGTGCATGAGTCCTCTGCCAGAAGAGAAGACGGGTCCTCCAGCCAGGACAAAACCGTATGTCATTAAATGAGTACAAATGAAAAGGTGGCTCCAGTGGAGAGAACAGGGCCAGGGTTTCTGGTTTTCCCCTGCTTTGAACTCACCCACTTGTCTGGGCCCAGAGTACTCACTAGCAAGGGAAAAAAAAAAGTGGAAAAAAGAGAGCAGAGGGTGAGCTTGGAATAACCAAACCTGAGCCCCAGCAAGCAGAAGTCTGACTCTCATCCACAGCTGGCAAATATGTCTGCTTAGGTCTGGCCTGGTGGCTGATACTGACCCTGAGGCCCCCCAAGGAAACCCCCTCTGCAGTCACAAGAGGTATACAGCCAGCACAGAACCAACTACATGCAGAATTTGAGTTCAGGGCCACTGTGCCAGCAGCTGCTGTGTAACTTTGGACCCACCACCTTCCCTCTCTAGGTTTTTGTGTCTTAACCTCTAAAACAGGGAAAAATCCAGTTCCTGCTCCATCAGCCCTTAGGAGACTGCCTCATAGATCTAAAGTGCCAAGGTTAATAAGCTACCTGGAACATGATACTAGAGACAGGTAATAGTAACAATAAAAGTAACTGCAACAGCATTAGTGATAATATCTACTCATGGCTTAAATGAAGCTTAATTTGTGCCAGTATTCTAAGTACTTCACATTTACCATTTATCATCTTTTTATATTGATAAATGATTCAAACTAATAACATTTATATATTCATGCCATTCATTATACTGAGTCATTTAGTTCTCACAATCACCCTATTAAATAATCATTATAATCATCCCCGTTTCTACCTAAGTAAACAGATGAGGCACAGAAAGGTTACATCAACTGTGCACAATTACACAACCAGTAAGCAACAGCTTTTGAGACTCTTCCTCCCTTAACTGCTATGTTACCGTGACCAGCTGGTAGTCCCTGGCCCTCAAAGATCCCCCTTTTCTAAAGCTTAGCCACACAGTTTGGACAAAGTGATGTCTCCTCTCTGAGGGGTCAGGCCGAAAAGCCTACCGACTACCCATGGGGACTGTGGGGAGAAGGACAGAGGCAGAGAAAAGTGGATGGTGGGTCAGGGAAACAGAGTCCAGGACCTGGCTCCACCTTAACTGCCACCTCTCTGACTCCTCCTCCTCCAGAAAGTGGGACTCAAGTGACAGCAGGCAGGACCATGCTTTGGGGACTGTGAATGGCAGAGCTGAGCCATCCTGAGGTACTGTTTCTTGAAGCCTCTGGATCAGGAATGGACAGAGAGCAATTGGCTGCCAGGGCCACAGGCTTCCTCAGAGGAGCATCCCCAGGAAAGTGCAGCAGACAGGAAGTCATGCTGAGGGCCCAGCCCCTGCTCAGCCTGGGCTGCCCAGCACACACAGTCCTCTCACTGAGGACAAGAGCAGCTGTGTCAGCACAGACTGAGTGGCCCTCAGAATCACTCACAGTGTAACCACGGCTCGCTTGTGGCCCCCAGCCCGCCACAAGATGTCTGCGATGGCCAGGGTGAGACAGTGTGTCCTCTGGGCCTCTGAAGGCTGCAGCCGCCTGAGGACAAGAAAGGGAATACATTTATGCTCATGGGACACAGCTGAGACAGTGCAACCCTGTTGGCGCAGGGTAGGTGGCCCCTTCTGCAAATGGCTCCTCATCCCCCACCCCACAAGGTGTCACCTGCAGTCCAGGGACTCCAGGCTGAGCCTAGCCTAGGGAGAAAGTCTCTCTGTGGAGTAGAGTCACAGGAGTAGCTTTCAGGGAGGGATAGGGTAAAGGGGCTGCAGGAGAAGAAGGAGCGAAGGGGGGGGCTTCAGTGAGCCAGAGACCAGGAGTCCAGGACAGGCATGCTTTGGAATCGCTGCCACCTCAGGCAGACGGGAGGCACTGCCTGCCCTGGCCTTGGCCCATCCGACATCTTGGCTCTGGAGACACAGCATGTGCAAGCAAGTGCTCCAAGCTTTCCCTGCAACAGAATCTGAGGCCACGGGTGGCAAGGGGACAGCAGCCTGATTGGCTGGATGCTTAGACATGGTGTGTGGGATGAAAGGAGGAGGAAGTATTAGAGGATGACCCTATGGCTGTAAGGATCCACAGTTGTGCTGCCAATTAAAATACAGAGCATGTAGCTGGGACGGGGGCAGCTGAGGAGGGGGTCCAGACAACCTCAGACTCACTGAGGGTCCAGTGGACGCTGAGAAAAGCTTCCAGACCCACTGAAAGCATAGGAGAGAGGTGGGGGCACAGATTTCCCAGAAAGAGTGAGGATGGGCAGGGACAGTGGCCAAGGACAGGCCTCCAGGGCATCAGGAGGCCAAGGAGGAAGAGCCAAGGAGAGGGTCATGGTCTAGGAGACAAGTCTCATGCACAGCAGGCAGTCAGTACCACCAAGAGACTGAGCTCTCCTGCAATAAAAATGGTGACTAAGAGGTTCCTGGTGCCCAGAAAGAATGAGAGAGAGGAAGGCCAACAGCCAAATATAGACGTTTCTTTCCATTTGACATTTCCCCAGGCTCATTAGAGCTGGGCTTCTTGCCTTCCCCCGCATTCTGTGAACTTTTCCAAAATTCGTGAAAAAGCCAGCCTGAGTGGGTCTTTCTTCCTAACAAATAAAAGGGCTGATGAAAACCCTGCTGGGGAGAGGGAGGCAAAGGAACGTGGACCCCGACTCCAGGTTTTCAATCACCAAAAAAATGCCTGAACTCCACACAAAGGTGTAAAAGGGTAAGAATGGGATTTGTCTCTTCACCTGCCCACGATACCAGGACACAGCTACCATACTTGGTAACAAGTGGTTACTGCCTAATGTTGGAACACAGAGTCAGGGACCTACAGCCAGGCCGCTGTGGGTCCCTCACTTTAAAATAAGTAGTAAAGGGAGAGACACAGTGGCCCTTCAGTTCCTGTGCAGAAACTGGCCATGGTAAAGCCCTCCCTCACAGCACTGGGAGCCTTAAACAAGACAATGCCTGTGAAGCAAGGGCCCGGTGCCTGCTCCTATCACTACTATTTGTGAAAACTTTAGGACCCCACTTGGGCGAGGCCACAGAGATGGGGGCACCCAACATCTGATGTGAACCTGGCACCCAGCACCTGGTGCTAGCAATCCTGTAGCTGAAGCAAGCTCCGTAGCAAGCACTCAAGTGTGCAGGAACAAAACCTGAGGCAGCCTACTGCTGCTTCAGGCTCAGGAAGCCTGCCATGCTCCTCACAGGAAATAGTAAGCACACCATCACCAAACCGGACAGCCTGAGCTGTCAGCAGTACTGGCCCAGGTCACTGCTAACTAGGAAAACAACATTGAGAAAACACTGCTCTAGGTTTTGGGCAAGGCTACACAAAAGACAGAAGGGGCCTGGACAACAGAGTTTGTCAGACAAAGGACAAAGGTCTGGATGTTTACCTCTTAGGATTCAGAACCCACAAACATAGACTCCATCGTACCCCTCACCTCCTGTTCTATGCCTTGCCCTCCTCCAAGTGATGGTCATATCCTGCCAATTGCACTACCTGAGTCTCACACCTATCCTCTTCCAGACCCTGTCCTCAGCATTTATGCCCCTCCAGTCTCCAGGGTACACACTCCCCAGATGGGTGCTGTATCCCCAAATACAGCACTCCTGATACACCAATGCTCCCCCGTCCAGCTCTGACCACACTGGGCGCTGGGCCAGCTTCCTAAGTATATATAGTGTCTAGAACACCTGTGCTGCCAAGTTTCCACACCTGGAACCAAGGTGGATGATGTCTTCCAAACATGGCACTTTGCACTAAGCCAGAGTGCAGCTAACAGACTCCTCAGCTAGCTTCTCAGTAAAGGGAAAATAAGATTTAAAAGCCAATGTGTGTTGAGTTCTTGCCATGTGCCAGGCACTGCTAATAAGCACGTTAAATGTATTATTTCATCAAATCATTAAAGCAACTATAGGAGTTAGGCGCTATTATTATCCTCTTTTTAAGATGGGGAAACTGAGATGCAGAGACTAAGTGATTTATCCAAGGTCATGTTGTTAGTAAAAACTGGGGGAAACACTGAAGAAGAGTGTGGGAAAGCAGAAGCAACTGCATTGGGTACTTGGTTTCACTGTTTTGTTTTTTACAGTGCTGAGGACAGAACCCAAAGCTTTGTTCATACTAGGCAGCTATTCCACCTATAAGCTATATTCCCAGCCCTGGCACTTGATTTTAAGAACCAATGTCCCTTTGCCTTTGAACCCATCTTGCCAGTACCATGCAAGATAACCTAGAGATCTTACTCCTGAGCTAGGCCATCCCCTGTTCTGTCTATGTGCTCTGCCTGTGGCCCTCAGAGCCTACCTGTGTCTATACATAGTCCTGGTTCTGTCCATCTGCTTCCATTTAGTAGCTTCTCTAGTCTCCCACATCTCCTTCCCTGCCCCACTGGCCCAGCCTTCTGCATCTTTCTGAGACATGGCATTTTGAGAGATGGCTTTTCAGATAACACAACAGTGGAGCTAGAAACGTACAGTTTCAGGCAGGCAAGAGACCTGGGACTGATCCTGGCTCACAGGTGTGGGGGACCTCATGTCCTCCCTGACTGATGCCCCTGACATCACTGAAGTCTTGCTAGTCTGTCGTTAACCTGCCCAGAGTTGTCACACTTGAGTGTGCATGCCTGAGTGCTTGTCCTACAGGTGACAACATGGGAAGGAGTCACCTGCATCTTCCTTCATCACCTGGACTTGACCTTCAGACAATTCAAGGGCAGCCCTTACTGGTTACCCCTGGGTGCCTATGAAGGTCCTGTACTGCCTAGCCATCAGACATACATCTGCCACACTCTCACCAGGAATCTGGCACTTGGCCAGGCTCTTACATCAGAAGTTTCTTCAAGCACCTAATTCCTCTCAGAAGTGCAGGATGAAGGTATTTGTCTAGGGAGAGGTGAGCAGGGGAAGGTGGGGATAATACATTCTACATTTGCTCAAGTGTGTCAAAATAAAGAGATGTTTCTACCCTAATTATCTCAAGACTGCCTCACATGTCCATTCAGACATGCCCATGTAGAAAGTTCTGGAGAAAGCTGGCAGGTGTGTGCAGGCAGGCCATGGCTCCCTCCTCTCTGCTTCCTCTTAAAGTCAAGAGCTATTGGAGGGAGGGACAGAAGGACAGCTGGCCTGGGGCTGCAGGGCCTGGGCTGCAAGCATGGTTCTACCACTGATGCCCTGAGGAGCTGGTATAAAGTGCCCTCCTTCTCTTGGCCTTGAGTTTCCTGAACTCAGAAAGGAAATGGAGTAAGAGGATGACATTCCTGGGAACTCCTCATTTGCACCAACACTGAAGGCCCTTCCTCTCTCTTAGGGCCTGCAGGGGGTGGACTGAGCTAAATGGCCCTTGCTCCAGTGGAAAAACCCCATGTCCTGCCACCTGGTTTTGTTCTGCCGACTGAGGAGAGGACGGCTGCCAGCCTGATGAGCTGAGTCTTAATGAGGCCAGACAGTCACACAGAAAAAACACCAGGCTTGCCAAGCAGCCTTTACTTCCGCATGGCTTCCCTAGAGAGTACCATCCACCCTCTGCTCTGCTTTCACAGAACCATGTCCCTGTCACCAAAGCTTGTGGTCACTGAGTGCAGAAAGCAAAAGGCAGAGCCCTGGAGCTCACAAGATGCTGGTGTACAGCGTGGCAGGTCCTCCAGCCAGTGGAGCATCCTGGTGTTTCTGAAAATACAGAGGAACCTTCCTACCCTCCTCTCCTCCTTTTTCTAAAGCTGGACCATTTCTGAAATCCTAGAGTTTCAGAGTAAAAAGAGGGAGACTAAAGCCTCAAAGCTAGCCCGGCACACAGCCTGGGCAGGAACCCTGGTGATCCATCAGTCAATGGAAAAGTTGTACCCATGCTCAGTGAACACTGAGGAGCTGCAATGGAGAGAAGTTTATGCCCACTGGCCCAGTGTCACCCTTCACTACCACGACACAGGAGATTCCATGTCTGTTGTATTACTTACTATCTGTTTGTGCTGGCTTTTTCTAAATTAGGGCAAGGGGAGGCACTGCTGATGAAAGAAGCCCTTCACAAATAGAGCCACCCCGAGTCTCCAAGAGCCTGGAGGGTGCTCAGTGACCAGCCTCCACCACCCTGCCCTCTCTGACTCCCAATGCTTCCAGGGCACAGCAGTATGACATGACATGGCAGATAAGCACCACCTGCCAGTCTTGCTTATTTCTATCATGGTGTCAAGTCTGACTCTGAGCTAACATCTGTCCCTCTCTGGGTCCCAGCCGAGTATGATAGTCCTACTCACTTGCACAACTCCTGAAGCTTTGCAGGGGCTCTGTTTACATTTTTTAATTGACTTCAACTTGGGCTACAGGTTACTGGGGGAGAGGTCCTTGCTGGGTCACAGAGAAGCAGCTGGCCCTCTGACACCTCTTCCTGAGTCCCCTCCTCAGGCTTCTGAAAGAGCTGGTGACTGAACCCTGTCAGTGTGGCCTGGGGTGGCAGGGATTGGAGGTGCAGAGAGGATTAGAGCAATATCCAAAGCTTCAGGACCCAAAAGGAAGGGGAGGTCATCTCTATAACAAGGATCACCAGAAGGCCACCAACAGGCGAGCTCTCTTGGTTGCTGGCCTTGTTCAGTCCAGCCAGGCAGCCCTCCCACCAAGCCAGTTCCTTCCCACCCCTCAACACCACCTAACACAAAGCCCCCAAAATGACCCACACAACACACCCCATCACACCATAATATAACCCCCAACAACAGATCATCACATAACACCTGCCCGCACAATGCAACCACACACAACACACCCCCACAATACAACCACATACCCTATAAAACCCAATACAACCTCCGCATATAACACAACTCCCGCACAACCTCCATGTATAACACACACTGACACAACACAACCTCATATACAATACAACCCCACACAACATACTCTCCATAAACAATACACCTCCTATTCAACACACCCTACATACAACACACTTCACATATAATGCAACCCCACACAACATAACCCACATACAACCCCACACAATAGTCTTCTACACAACCCCACATACACAACACAACCCCACAGAACCTACACACAACCCCACATACAACACAACTCTACACACAACCCCCCACAAGACAACTCTACATACAGTACAACCCCCACACATAATTTGCACACAGAACACAATTACTCCGTACAACACAACTCACATAAAACACAATCCCCCCAAACAACAGAAGTCAAACAATGCCCACATGCATAATACAACCCATATACAAAATAACTCAAGCACATAACTTATATATACATGCAACACCATGTCCACACACATAACACAGCCCCCACACAACAGAATCCAGACACACAATTACTCAAATATATTCTCTACACAGCCCCATGCACAACACAATCCTGATATGTATAACAACCCACAAATAACAAACCCCAACATAACACAAATCCCACACATAATACCCCATGCATAACATAATACCCCACAGGACACTACCCTTACTTATATTGTAAGCCCCAGCAGCAATTTCCATCCTTGTCCCTGTGCATCCTTGAGCCTCAGTGCCCAGCCCAGCCACAGATACAGCAGCCCTGGCCCCTGGAGCTTCTACTCTAGCTATCCCGCCTCTTTTTTCTAGGTTCCAACAGACAGGAAGCCCTGGGCCAAGGCTACATTCCCTCCTGATCCTTCCCCTGCACACCCACAGGAAAGCTGTCCATCTGGTAGGCTCACAAATACACCCTGCGGATATATATGTAGGCCCCAGTCTAAATTGGTGCGGCAGCTGTCAGGCCAGCCACCCACAGTTTGGCAAGGTATTCTTTACACCAGGAGCTCCATTTGACCCCCAACCTGGATGACCTTCTCCCTTCCAAGCCAAGCCTTGGTTCCCTCTCTGGTATGGAAAGCAGAGATCTACCCCCTAGGATGTGTGATGGGGGATATAAAAGCTCTTACAACCCTTATGGAGGTGGGGTGGTGGGATACAAGCAACCAAGGCAGCCTTATGTCATGGGCAGCATCAGCCCTTCCTGGAACCAACTTAAGCACTACATCCTGACTGCTGGGAAGCCATCCACAACTTCCCCCAGAAGCTCAAATTCAAAAGCAACTCTGAAGGGGCTTTGGGCTGAAGTGAGTCATGAAACATCTTTCACTTGGCCAAGGCCAAGGTTTACTCCAAATAGCTGGTGGTCCCAAGGGCCCAGAGGCCCTGCTGGCAGCCTGACCCTACACATCCCTGGCCCCAGGTCACACCCTGACCCTCCAAACACTGCACTGGCCACTCCAGGCAACACTCTGCTCTTCTCCCTGCCCTAGGGGCATTGCACATCTTATTCTCTTTACTGGAATGCCATTCTGCCTCCCCTCCCTCTTTGTCTGGACAACTCAATCATTTGTCTATGTGCTCATTCAACAAAAATCCCAAGGTCCTCTCCTGTGGATCAGTTGCTAGGCTGGATGCCAGGGATGCAAGCTGCCGACCAGGCAGGCTGGGAAGGTCACTGTTTTCAAGGGGCTTAAGTTCTGTTGGTAAGAGAGAGGCAGACATGGAGGTAGCTGCCTCTAAACTAGAGGCAGCCATCGGTGGTGGAGTCATTAGAGGCAGGCCTGGGATTATCGACCCAGGGGTGTTAGGGAAGGCCTCCATGAAGATGTGCAGTGAGAGAGGGGCCAGTGGGTACAGCTCCTGAGCACACAGGCCTATGGGCCTGGACAGGAGGGAAAGAACATTGAGGCAGGAAAAAGAGTGTGTACGGATATGTGAAGGTACATGGGGGTGGCTATTCCTCCTGCAGATATCAGTAAGAGTCAAATGTGCCCCTTGGTGTCAGGGCAAATCCTTAGGAGCCTGTATGTCCCCAGTTATCATCTGTCCATTTGTCTCCCATTAAATTCTAAAAGCCATGACAAGCAGGCTACCTTTGTCTTGGTCAGACTCATAGCACTGTTGAGCACCTGGTGAGTACATACTGCATACTTTTTTGCCAAAAGTATTCAGATTTCCTGTGCTACCCCACCAGGTGCATTCCTGGGCACAGAGGACTGTGTTGGCCTCTGAGCTCTTTGCTGAGCCAGACTTTCACAGCAGACAGTGGGCATGATCCTGTACAGACAGGAGCAACTATGGACAGACCCAGAATGGTAAGCAAAGAGACAAATGAGGCGAGAGTGGTAGAAATGTTACACTGCTGTGCTTTTGGTTTGAGTAAAGCAACTTGATTATCTTGAAAAAGTACTAGAAAAACTGTAAGATGTCAAGCATGAAAAGCCAACTTCACTTAGATCCTAAGGCAAAATCATCCATGCTGGGAAAATATCTTATTTGACTATTGAAAATAGTTGTCTGTCCCTTCCAGTAAACTGCATCTCTCCCAGGCACTTGGATGTAAATGAAGGGGACGGAGTGGGCCTCATTGTCTTGACGACATGGAGGCTCTTTTTGTAAAAGGCTCTGAAATGCTTATTTCAAAGAACAAGTGACTTTCAGTGAAGTCCAGGAACTGGCAAAACTAGGCTATGGTTTTAGAATCATTTGGAAGGAGGATAGGGGTACCTACTAGGCATATGGAGATACTTCTGGAATGCTGCGAATATTTTCTCTCTTGGTCTGGGTGACTGGTCATGGGTACATGATTTTGTTTTTTGGGTTTTTTCCCAAATTAAAAAAAAAAAAAAAATGAAAGTGCCAGAATTGTGTAGTTCCTAGGACAACACAGTACAAGCTAGTCAATGGAGCCTTGAGGGGGACAAGGTAAGACGGCTGCCTTCTTAGGTTGGCGCCCATCTTGTGCACCAATTGAGGTGTAGGGTCATGGCTTTCTGTCGGTCCCTCAACCTTACCGAGTGCCTCTTGGGAGAGAATGTGTCTGATTTCCTACATCCCCTGTGCAGGTGCAGGAGTGTTCCTGCAATGTGCACTGGATCAATGAGAATGAGTGTGGGCATCCGGGGCAAACACTTAACATGTGAAATGGAAAGTACGTGGCCACAGAGGGAAGAAGCCATGTACTGTGGACTGGCTGGAATGTGTGGTTCTGGCTACTGGTAGAGGGGAGGTAGTGGGAAGGCAGGGAGCTCTGGAATTTATCAAAGGGCCAGCAGATAGATGTGGGTGTGGAAGGGACCACCCTGCTGCCTGATGCCTTCTGAGGAGGCAGACTTGGTTGCGGTGCTATCCTCTGCCATGTGAAACTCCACTCACCAGTCCTCCAAGCCCCCAGAGACAAAACCCACTCAACTGTTCATGTAACAGAAGTCAGAGCAGGCCCTCCTGGCGTGTCATGACCCTTTTCTTTCTTGACCTCAGGAGACGGGAAACATGAGGGAATGCAAACATTTGCTTACTTAGATCTTTGTCCTGGACTCTCCAGAGAAACCTTGGGAAGGAAGACACTAAGAGTAAGCACCAACTTACTGAGGGCAGTCAGCTCCAATCTCCCCTTCAAACAGGAGTTTCTGCAGCACACAGCCTTGGACAGCTGCCAACACCCCACAGGGACCACCCTGCAGAAGACAACATTCGTCACTAGCAGTGCACACCGACCAGGCTGAGCTCTGATCCACCCACCTGCCTCCAACCAAAGTCACAGCACAGGGCCCCACCACCTTGCTCCCTAACCCACAGGGCCCTCTGCCATGGAGACTCTGACTCTACTGGGTTGACCCTGAACCATGGAGACAGGTAACAAGACCCCAGTTCTCACCCCTAAAGGAAGGGGTCAGTCTGCAATGCATCAAGGGAGGAAAATGAAGTCAGTGATATCATAGGTTTCCTGTTACCCAGAGAAATTTTCAGTGTACACAAGCTGAGGTTATTGTTTACCCAAACCATGAGACCCATCTTAAAGGCCCCCTCCTCCAGGAAGCTTTTCTTGATTATCTTGGCAGCATCTGATTACATAGGGACAGGGGCAGGGGATTCTTCCAGAGCAATGGGAACATTTTCTCTCTTGCTCTGATCTGGCTTGTAGGCCAACCTCAGTACCCCGCTAGGTGTTTGTGTCCCCTCCCGCCCTGTAACAGAAAGGGCCCTTATCTTTGAAGAGTTCCTCCCTGTAGACATCATGGGGCTTAGCACAGGGCCTGCCCTGCTGCACACCCCCCCCTCAGGGTCCATCAGTAAAGGCCCCTAGAACTGAGCAGCAAAGACAGTAGAGCCCTCTGTGAGGCAGTGCAAGAGGAGGGGCTAAGCTGGGCACCTGAGGGAGGGCAGAAACCAGTAGTCTTGAGCTCTTCCTTGAGCAGCATGGGGCAGGGAGGCCCAAGGATGTTAGCAATGAACCTGGTGGGGCTGCCCTGCTCCATCCAGTGGCTTCTTGACCCCAGAGTTGGTGAATCTTCAAGCTATTTGTAAGTCTATCCTGGAAAGTATATCCAGGCTATGAGCACAGTTCCCCACCTCCTACCTGTGGCTCTCTAGCTTCTACCATACCCTCTTTATGTTCCTGCATTGAGCACCCAACACCTAGGTCTTTCCCTGCAACCCTCCTCACTCATGCCACCACCCTGCCTAAAGTACCCAGCCCCACCTGCTGAATCTCAGACTCCTCCCAAGGTCAGCTCATAGTGCCCTCAGTGCACATGCAGGGCCACCTTCAGCTAAGTGCACATTCATCAAGAGCCCACCAGTCTTTCCTGCTCGCAGCAAGTAGGGGTTCCATTAGAATATCTCCAAAGCAAAGTTTCAGCCCCACTGTTGTTCCACCAGTCCCACATGAAGTGCCCATGCTGACAATTCAGCAAATGTGTGGCTGCTGGCCCTTGACAGCCCCATTGACACTTGTGGTATTCACAACTGGGCAGCAACCCCCAGACCTACACATGACAGCACAACATAAGGCCCCTGGGGGCCCTAAGAGCAACCTGCCTTCTTCTGCACAATGCCATATTTTAATGAGGCAGTGTCACTAAAGGAAAAACTCTGAAGCTTCCACTCTTCATTGAAGCAGCAAAAAGTAGAACCAAACAGAAGGATCTTGACTTCCTGTGGAAAGAAAAGAGTTTTATTGGCTGTTTAAACAAACAACACTAGGATGCTTGTGAAATACAGCCCTGCAGGAGGCTGGACCCAAGTTCTAATAGGGCCATGCATTTTTTGACAGGGTTGTCTCTTCTCTTTTTGTTTTGCAAGTCCATTCTTCCCATATTTGAGGGAAGAGAAACTGGACCCTGAAGGTCTTACCTCTGGAACATCTGTAAACCAAACCAGCTGTACTGACATGGGCCAAAAAATCTCTGTAGGTTATTTACAGAGACCTTGAAACGCAAAACTTTGGTTTTTCAAAGAATCTTAGCGGTCCCCTGGTGTTCCATCAGAAAGCCTGGAAGTTTTTAAACCTGACTTCACATTAGAATCACCTAGGGAGCTCTTAAAAAGAATCCTGATATTCAGACCACAGGCCAGACCAATTAAATCTGAATTCCTGAGGGTGGGGCACTGTTATCAGCAGTTTTGTTTATTCTGGATTTTTTTGTGGCGCTGAGGATCAAACCCAGTGCCTTACAGATGCTAGGCAAGCACTTGATCACTGAGCTACATTCGCAGCCCCAGTACCAGTAGTTTTAAAACTGCTCCAGGTGATTCCACTTCACAGCCAGGTTTGAAAACCAGTGCTCTGGAACCATGTGGCAAACTGCGGCCCATGAGACAAATCTGGCCACTACCTGTTTTTAAAAACAAAGTCTTATTAGCACATAGTAGTGTCCATTTATTTACATTTTGTTCACAGCTGCTTTCATATCACAACAGCAGAGATGAATAGTTGCAATAGAAAATAGAGTGAGCAAAGTCAAAAGTATACTGTCTAGCCGTGTGCAGAAAAAAAAAAAGTTCTTCTACAAAGACATCTGTGAGTGACCCCATGAACTCTGCCAGACCACCCTACCACCCAAAGCGAGGCTCCCACCACCTCCCAAGGCACCTCCTCCAGTCTTCCAGAACACTGTCTTCTCTGGACTTTCAGGTGATACTAAGCTAGCTATTCATCTCCCACCAATCCAAGCACCACCATCCAGAGCCCCAAGAACACCAACCCCTCCCCACTGCCAGGCCCTCACTCAGGAAGACTTCTCCACCAGCTCCCCCATGATAGGCCACACAACCACTTTGGTCCTGAGTATACATCTGAGGAGACTATGAAGCCTCAAGTGAGCCCTAGAATGAACAGGTAGATTCTAAAGCCCTTCTCACCTGGACCCACTCTCATGGTCAGGACTTTCCTGTATATAGAGCTGGGTTACTGTCCATTTAGAATTGGTTTTTTTTCTTTTTCTTTTCTTTGAGTATGAGAAAATCTCTGATGTCATTAAATGTGAGTCAGCGTTACACTGGATATGTGAATTCATCTGTGAGGGTTCATTTCTCCTCTTGTACCAACTATAATTACGCATCTGTCTGAAATGCATTTCCCAAGAGTCTAGAAACTGAAACTTGGATTTTCTGGATGAACCTCTTCTCTGTTCTCTTACTTGCAGACTAACAGCTCTAAACTAGGCACAGTGCGTTTAAGAGCCTGGAAACAAGGGCTCTCCTTGCCTTGGATGCCCTGGGCCCTGGCCCTCCTCTTTCTGTGGGCCTCACTTTCTCCCATTGATTTTGAACATGCTTTTGCTGGGTGGTCTCTAGAAGCCCCCAAGGACCCATCACCAAATAGAAGTGCTGTCTGCAAAAAGCCACAGCCCTGTGTCTCCAGATGGCCAGAACACATACTCCCAGCTTTGGGGCCCCTTAAATGTTGCCTGACCTCTGTGGCTTCACAAAAAGGAAAAAAAACAGAAAATGGAGAAGGGGGAGGAAAGGACAAAACCTCTAGAAAAAACCTTGCCCTGTTTGATATGTCTGCTAAGTAAGTACATAGTAAGTGGGAGAAGGAGGTCAGCTGTGTCTTCAGGAACTTCCACATGTTCTCCTGAATCCTGGATGAAAGGCCAGTAGAGGACAGCAAGAATGACACTCCAACCTATAAGAACCTCAGGCCATGGTTGAAAGGAAGACACCCTGGCCACTGAAGATAGTGATAAATCCAAAAGCCCTCTACTGAGGAGGCTGCTTAGGGCTGGGAACCCATTCCCCATGTCCTGTGGCCATGGGCTCCTTCAGAGGGCCATAGATATGACCTGGATAGTGTTGAAGAACTGCTAATTTCCCTGTCCTTCCCTCATTTCAACTGTCTGGAGCCAGCCCAGAAGACTAGCACAGGGGAGACCCGTCCTCTTAGGACAACTATCCTGCTCCTATTGCATGCTGGCAGTGTGCATTAGGACTGTGGTGCAGCAGCTCTGAGCCACAACAGTACTGGGGTCCTGCAGTGTCTGGTGAAGGCAAGCCTCCTCCCTCACCCTTCATCCTGGGGAGGAGAGGGAGCAGCCAGGACTAGAACAGCTTCCTGACCCTCAATTTAGGTTTTCTTCTACATTGCACCCAAATTTCCATTTCAACAGTGACCAAGAGATTACAATGGAAGGACTGGGCTAAAAATAGCAAAGTCATGTCATCCAAATCAGGAGGTATTTAATGCAGAATTCTTATACTTCTGAGTTGACACCTACCTTTGCTACCAGGAGGTCAACTGGCTTTGATGTTACTTGCAATCTGAGCATTGATGGGCCTGGGGACAAGATGACTTCTTCCCTCATCAATTCATCTTCTACGTCCTCTGAAAGAAAACCATGATTATGGTATGGCTCCAGAGAATGAAACAGGAAGACATTAACACCATAGACACCAAGAAACTTGAAGAAGTTTGAGTGAGAGGAGGACATCTTCACTCTCCATTCCAGCCTCTGCTCTGGGGGCACCCAAGGCTCCACCAGAAGGAAAGAAAACAGACCAAGAAGGACATTGTTCCTCATCACAACTCCTTCCCCACTGTTGTGTCACAGGTGGTTGGTCTACTAGAAAATGCTGGTCTACTAAAAAATGCCACATGTAGGTGGGGCAAGATAGATTAAAAACATCCATCATTTTTATTCTATGAGTGAGTAGAGTCAGATAACACAGAAGAAACTATACTCTGAAGAGAGAAATAAAAGAAGAGCATAAGGAATTAGGGAAGAAGTAGGAGGAAGGCAGAAAAGCACAGAGAAAAGCAGAAAATAGTTCCAAGCCTGTCCCAGGCTTCCCAGGAGGAGGGGGGCAAGCTGCAGACACCATCACAAGGTAATACAGCCAGCCATGGCAACAAACTGGCAATTCTAGCTGTAAGACAAGCCCATAACTCCTACAAGTGTTAAACCCAGTGAGGAGATTTGTGAGATAGTAACTCCACTGGTGTGGAAAGCTAGCCTCTGTGAAGAAAGACGTCCTGTTGCTCCTCTTATCTTGGAGGGCAATAGAAAGGTGCCATCTTGTGAGAGGGCCTATTGCTTGAGACTAAAATACTCTAGGGGCCTGAAAACAAGTGACACTCACCGATAAAGGAGCCTTAGGACACCCTGCCACAATGTCTGGGTGGGAGACGGCCACAAGAGGTGGTCAGAGAGACAGAAAGGGTCTAATGTGATCCCTCAGAGAAGTTCAAGCAGCAGAAAACTTCACTAGCAGCGAAGGGCACCATGATGGTTGGAGGACTCACTCTCCCTGGCCAGGAATGAATCCTATCACCTGAGTATAAGCCATAAAGTATAGGCCTCCTGGCTGCATGTGTTGTCCAATAGGGGGGTCAGAGTCCTGGGCCCAGACCCTATGAATCACAAAATACCTAAAGCCCCCGCCTACCCCATCCTTACACACAGGAAGGTGAAGTGATGGATGGGTCTGTAAGAACTGAGACTAGCAGGTAGAGAGACTAGGTCTCTCAGGTCTTCCCCAGCCAGCACAGAGCTCAGTGCTCTGTTTACTCCCCGTGACTCCCTGATGCATTTGGGGTCACCATAAGTCTTGAACACTTGCTGCCCCTGGGTACACAAACTGATAGGCATATGGAACAAGTGGAAATCTTCTCAGCCCACAGGCTATAAAGCTTCCTGCAGCCAACAGCAGCTCCTAGTACAAAAGAAAGGGAAGCTTCTATAACAAAAGCCACCTAGAAATGAACAACTAACTCTTCCACAAGAGACTCCAGTTAGTCTACCCCAAATTTGAGCTGTGCTGGGAAACACAGCCAGTGACCTGAGCACAAGGGCGAATGCTTGGCTACTGACCCATACCCCCAAGTCCAGTGGTCATAAAAAGCATCTCAACTGGGCCACTACATTGTCCTGCCTGAACACTGAGACTATTTCAACTAAAATATTATAAGTGACTAAAGCTGCCAACCAACAACTTGGCCTGAATTGCATAAATCCCAACAAACAAACACAAGTTATATAAAAACAAAGCAACATGTCCCCTTCAAAAGTTAGTAATCCCACAATAAAGGACTGGACAATAGCAAAGCAGATGAAATTTCAAACAATGAACTAAAAAAGATAAAGATACATAGGATAAACAAAATTAAAGAAAATATGTATAAGCATCTCAAAGAATTCAACAAAAAAAATAAACAGCTCAATGGACTCAAAGAAAATTCAAATAAATGGCTGAATGAAATAAGGAAGGTAATGCAGGGTATGAAAGAGGAACTTAATAGAGACATAGAACTTTTGAAAAAAAATCAACTTGAAATTCTGGAAATGAAAAGCTCCATAACCCAAATCTAAAAACTCAGCTGAACATAAAATCAAGGACAAAAAAAATCACAAGATCATTTCAATTGATCAGAAAAAGCCTTTGACAAAATTCAACATCCTTTCATGATAAAAAATCTGAAGAAACTAGCAACAGAAGGAATGTACCCTCAACAGAATAAAAGCTATATAAGACAAACCAACAGCCAATATCATACTAAATGGAGAAAAATCGAGATCATTTCCTGTAAAGTCAGGAATGAGACAAGAGCGTCCACTCTTCCCTCTCTTATTCATTATAGTACTGGAATTTCTAGCAAGAGCAATAAAGCAAAAAAGAAATAAAAGGGATTCAAATAGGAAAGAAAGAAGTCAAATTATCCCTACTTGCAGATGATTTGCTTATATACTTAAAAGACTGCAAAGACTCTGCCAAATTCCTAGTTGTGATAAACACTTCCAGTGAATATAAAATTAACATACATAAATCAGTACTTTTCTATATAACAGCACTGAACAGATAAGAAAACAATTCCATTCACAATAGCCTAAAAAAATATGCAGAAATAAACTTAACTAAGGATATGCAAAACCTCTGTAATGAAACTGTAAAACCTTAAAGAAAAAAAATGAAAGACACCAGCATATGGAAAGACCTTCCTTGTTCGTGGATTGAAAGAATGTTGTGAAAATGGCTATACTATCAAAAGTGTATCAACTCTCATCAAAATTTCAATGTCATTCTTTGCAGAAATAGAAAAATCAATACTAAAATTCATATGGAAACATAAAAGATCCCCAAACAACAAAAGTAATCCTGAGTAAAAAAGAGCAATACTGGTGGTATCACAATACCCAACTTCAAATTCTACTACAGAGCCATAGTAACAAAAACAGCATGGTTCTGACACAAAACAGATACAAAGACCAATGGAACAGAAGACTCAGAAATAAACCCACACAGCTACAGTCATCTGATTTTTGACAAAGGAGTCAAAAACATACATTGGCGAAAAGACATCCTCTTTAACAAACAGTGCTGGAAAAACTGGTTATCTCCATGCAGAAGGCTGAAACTAGACCTCTTATTTCTTACCCTGTACAAAATCAATTCAGAATGGGATCAGAGATCTTAATGTAAGATCTGAAACTCTGAAACTACTATGGGAAAACATTGGAAGATGTAGGCATAGGCGATTATTTTCTGACTAGGACTCAATTTCCCATGAAATAAGGGCAAGAATTGACAAATGGAACTGCATCAAATTAAAAAGCTTCTGCACATCAAAGGAAACAATGACCAGAATCAAGACACAACCCAAAAAATGGGAAAAAACCTTTGCCAGCTATTCATTGGATAAAGGATTAATATTCAGTACATACAAAGAACTCAAAAATTAAACACAAAAAGAACTAATAATTCAATTAATAAATGGGCAAATGAATTAGATAGTTCTCAGAAGAAGTAGTACAAATGGATAATAAATATATGAAGAAATGTTCAACATCTTTAGCCAAAAGGAAACGCAAATCAAAACAACCCCAAGATTCTACCTCACCCCAGTCAGAATGACTGTCATGAAGAAAACAAACAACAATGACTGCCAGGGATTTGGAGGGAAATGAACCTCCATACACCACTAGTGGAGACGAACACTAGTGAAACCACTAAGGAAATCAACTTGGAGGTTCATCAAAAGACTAAACATAGACCTACCTTATGACCCTGCTATATCACTCGTGGGCATATATCCAAAGGAGTGTACATCAACATTTAAGAGAGATCCCACATGCCCAGGTTTATTGCAACAATGTTCACAATAGCGGAGCTGCGGAATCAACATAGGTGCTCAACAACTGATGAATGGATAAAGAAAACTGTGGTATATATACACATTAGAGTATTATTCATCCACAAAAAAGAATGCAATTATATCATTTTCAGGAAAGTGGATGGAATTAGACATCATCATGTTCAGCATAAGCCATGATCAAAAACTCAAATATCACATTTTTTGTTCATATGTGGAATCTAGACCTAAAATGAGAATACTAATACTATTGCTAATGATAATGGGATGAGTGTAAAAGAGGCACTGTCTGGGAGGAAATCACCGGGAGCAGGGCAAAGGGAAAGAAGAGGGTACTGTGGTGTGAAGAGAACCGAAATATGCTATATATGTATATAGAGTACAGTACATGCAAAATCCACCAAATACTATTTGAAAAAAAAGGAGGAGAAAGGAGGTGAACTTGCTCAAAGTACACTGTATGCATCTATGGAATTATCATAATGAAATCCCCTTGTATTTTTAATATACACTAATAAAAGATAAGGAAAAACAAAAGTGCCACATGTGGACATAAGAGTGAACCAAGCGCCAAAGACCTAAGCCATGGAGCCAGGCCCAAAGCCATTCCTTACAAAAGGTGGGCAGGATGCACAAGTATATCACCTGAGGACAAATGTGAACAGGACAGAACTAGGGAAGGACATGTAACCATTTCTGAAAAAAATAACAGTAGTAGATTCACACTATTGGGACTGACACTGACCCCTTGGGTTGTGCCACTGATGTCCACAGCAGCCCTATAAGCACAGTTACTACCATGCCACTTTCAGCTGACACTGAGGTTCAGATAAGATAAATAACTGGCTCCCATGAGGCAAAGGTGAAGTGACAGAGACAATATAAACAGCATCAACTGCGAATCACTTGGTCACCCTGCCTCTTCTGAAGCCCCAGCCAGAAGGAATACAGAACCATATACTCTTATAGTCCTGCCAGAGTCTTCAATGGCACCAGCCTACAACTTCCCATCTGTCTGAGGCTCCCTCTTGTCCTTTCACCTTCTGCCACTGAATTTCCCAGAGCACATAGATAAAGAACCCAAGGAAAAACAATCCCAAAATAAAGGCAAGCAGAGTGGGGCTCCAGAGGGTGGCTAAGGCTATAGCTCTGTAAATGCAGCTCCTACAGTAGTTGCCAGGGCGTGGGGTTCAACAGGTCACACCTTGTATCTTATTCTAAAGCCTCCTTGTCTCTCTTGGGGAGAACTAGCCACAGCACAAAGCAAATTCCCAGAAACTCAGTCCAATGAATGAGAGGAAAGATTCTATCTTTGGAATAGAAAAAAAAAAAGAATTTAAATAAGAACCTGAATTTAAATGAGAACCTTTCTCTTAAAAAAAAAAAAAAACAATGTATTAGCATATATTAGTTGTACATGGTGGTTTTCACTGTGACATTTCCACATATGCTTACAATGTAACTTGATTAGAATCACCCCACTATCATTCTCCCTCAATCCCACTTCCCCTTCTTAAAACAATTTCTGTGAGTTGCATTGTTCTATTTTTATACAAGTATATACAGTACATCAACCATAAACACCCTCCTTCACTCTTTGTTCACCCTTCCCCCACCCACTAGTACCCACGCCCCAACAGGACCTATTTTACATTCCTGTCCTTCATTTTTTTAAGTGTATATTCATTGTTCAAAAGCTTTTCACCATGGTATTTCACACATATATTGTACTTTAATCGGATTAACCCTTGTATTACTCTCTTTCTCTACCTATTATTCAACAGCTTTCGAAGTACAGAATCTTTCTTAGACTCTCTGAAAACGTTACCCAGTGACCATGATTTTATAACAAGTAACCTGAAATGGAAACCAGATGTTCCCCCCACAACATGAACAGACCTTAAAACATACACTGGGCAGAGAAAGTAAGAAATCAACTGAAGTATGTAACACAATAGTATTGATACTGAGTAAAAAATACATGCACATGAAACCACACTACACCTTGTGTGGGAAGTGGCACAAGCAAAAAGATATAGTTTATGCCTAAAAGAACGGTAGCTTATGGAGCTTGGGGGACAAAGGAGGGTAGAGAGGTAAAGAGAAATGAGAAAGGGCAAGAAGGAAAGTTGACAGGCAGGCTTTGCAAAGATTCACACTGAGAATGTTAGCTGGAAGAAGAGCTGTGTGAGTAATTCCATCCTGGACACCCTGACGACCCAAAAAGAGGGGCAGAGCAACCTGAGAGATGCCACCAGGCCTGAGGTCTCCCTGTAATGCCTGGGGCCAGAATGTCTCTGGATTTGCAGAGGTACAGTATTTAAGCCTACTTGGAGGCCTCTGTTTAGTTTGATGTTGTCAGGGGAAGCCAAATCTGCAACATGCTCTGCCCAGTCATGAAATGAGTCTGGGATGCAGGATGGAGCCAGTGACACCCAGGCAGGGAGGGGAGGGAAGAGCTCCTGGGAACAGGCAGCTTCCCTTGGCTTCTGCAGGAAGTACCTGGTAGAGTACAGGGAGCTGCATCAGGACCATAGAGCAGGGCTCAGGCCCAGTTGTGGCAAGACTGCCATGCAAGGGAAAAACAAAACACTCTGGAAAGACATGTTGGTCAAGGAGACAAAACTGTCTGCAAATGACAGTGGTTTGAGAATGCTATTTTTAAGGCCCTTGTATAAATGTCTGGTTGAGAAGAATCAAGGGGTTTGTACCCTTTGAAAGGAAAAAGCATTATACAGTAACTGCACTTCATCTGAAGCAAGAGTCAAAGAAAGCAAGGAAAATGATATTCACTCTATGGATTCCATGGCCTGTTAGCTTTCTCTTATGAGCCATTTGAATACTCTATCTGTATTAGTGACAGTATTTCCCAATGACTTTACAATATCTCCCGGAAGAACCCCAACACCAGACACTCAGTACCCCTCCAGTCTTGGGATTTGATAAGGGCCCCGTTTCTCCTCCCCCAAGGTCCAGGAAAGTCAGTTCAGCCATAGCATTATGCTCTGGTCACTGATGTGCGGGCATCCTGCTCTTCTCAGCCCTCTCCCACCCACTGCTGCTCCGGCCTCTGCATTTTCCTGCCTTCCTCTCTCCACTGTTACATGAATGTGTCAGCATTTTTCTATTGCTCATCAAGCACTTTATGGAGCACCCACCCACAGTTGATATACAGGGACAGAAGGGGACAGAGGAGGTCCAGACATTACAAAGGCATCACCCCTGGGTGGAGGAGACACCAGAACTATACAGTGAACACACAATACTGTGACTACTCAAATGGGAGCCAGGGCAAAGGTTTTAAGGACAGAGGGGGAAGCAATAAATTCTGTCTTAAAAGCCAGCGAAACTTCCCACAGACATGGTATTTAAGTAGGTCCTGAAACACCTGGGAACAAGAAGTAACTCATCACTCTTCTCTGGACTCTCTCAAGAGCCTCTCACCAGTCTCCAATGCCTGGGCCCTTACCCTAAAATCCATCCTATACTCAAGTCCAGATACAGGCCTCAGGACATACCCCTGACCCATAGCACAGATCTTCCAGGATTCCGTGCTGCCCAATGATTCAGTCCATCTTTAACACAGCACTCAGAATCTTTCTACCTCGCAGCCTTGACTCCAGTCTCATCCCCCAGGTTCCTGCTTCCCAGCAGGCTACTTTCTTCCAGCCCCCCTTTCTCACTCTCACTGCAGGCCTCTGCCTGTGCAGTTCCTTCTACATCTCTCTTTGGCAAGACCTTGCCCATCCTTCAAAGTCCAGCCTAAATGCCACCTTGCTGTGGAAACTTTCAGAATCCACTACAAAACTGTGCTTCTGTGTCTTCTGAAGCAGTTAAGACACTGGTTGTGTGTTTCATGCACTACTAGGGGAGAATGCTATCCCATGAACCCTGCCCTCCAAGAAGGCAAGTGGCCTCCCTTACCTTGTTGTCTGTCTTCAATACAGCCACCTATGCCTGGCAGGGAGATGCTAACAAAGCCCACTGAACTGACCTAAAGGTAAGTGAACTGGGGTGGCCAAGGAAATGCAGTTCCTCTCACCAAATCTGATGCCTTATTTCTGAGTCACCACTGCATCCCTCCCCATAAGACTTCTTTACTTTTCGCTCTTCATTCAACTGATTTGGTGCATTCTCTCTTGTCCTGTCTCCTTTTCCTTTTCTAAATCGTTAGCTGAGCCACTAGCAAGAGGAGTTTCTCTCCTTCTAGAAAATATGCACGTGCACTTCAAACAGCTAGCTTCTGAGAATTGCTAAAAGCCTTCCTTCCAAGAGAATCTCTCTGGGTTCTAAAAGACCAGGAACTGCTTTCCTTTGTATCCAAACACAAATGCCTTTCAACGGAAAATCTTCAAGTGCAGCACCTCCCAGAAGGCCTTGGATGCCAGGGCTTCCTGGCTCCATCCTTCACTCTGCACTGCCATGTACAAAAACCTTCCCTTCCTGGGAAGGGCCAGATGACCCCTGCCAGCCATTTCTGGTGATTAAGACTCTGAGGCTCTGCCACTTCTGAAGTAAGTTAAGCAGCATAAACAAACCTCTGCCTCCACATGCAGAGTTCTGCCCTGGCTTTCAAGTTGATCAAAGCAGACTGCCAGGCTGCACGTCTCACATAAGGGACTTTTAGGGGGGCACTGCTCTCTTCCTACAGCTTAAAAGGGAATGCTTAAAGGAAGAAGAAAAGTATGTGAACACTCCCATATGCCACAAAGGCCAACAGATAAATGGCTGACTTCCAGAAAAGGAGCAAATGTCAAGAACACTCAAGTGCAGCCTCTCACACCCAACCCTTGGCTGTCACTCTCAGTTCTGCAGCTGTTTTTGCCCTGTCTTCTAGAAGCAGAGGATTACAGGGAAAGAAAAATTGCTTCAAAACTGGAGTAGAGAAACAAGTTCTCAGCCTTTATCTTAGAGAGCATTTACACAGTTGTATCCACACGTGAAATGCAGAGCTGAACATGGAGGGTATGTGAATATGCACACTTCACTCTGTGTATTTTATACCTCAATCATGTTTATAAACTTTTAAAATAGATGGACCTCCTTAGACAAAGCAATACTAATAGTGTAATCTAGAACTGTCTCCTGAGAACCTCAATAGGTTCTAAATGGCCCTAAAAGAAACTCCAAATTCAGAAAGGACTCCTCTGGCTTACCAGTGGGGATTCAGAAAAGACCAATCCTTCTCACAGGATTTGTCTAAGAGAGTGAGGCAGGTAGTGGAGACAACATGAACAGAGAGGCCTGCCCTACTTCCTAAAGTCAGTGGGAGGAAAGGAGCTCCCGCCCCAGCCAGCAGGAATCCTTCACCCCCACCCTGATGGACTCACACCTACCTAGCCGCAGGGCAGTCAGCTCATCATCTACTTTATCAGATGCCAAATGATTTTTCCTGGAAGGAAAAAAAAAAAAAAAAAGGAAAATGTCAGTGTACCAGGAAGAAAACAGAAACACAAATAGCATGGGAGGCTGGAGGAGCTCTGAGTGAGGGTCAGGAGTCGAGTTCTTCCCAGTGATAGCCCTGGAGAGGATGGGACCAAGTGGACTTCAAGGTGCCTGTAATGCTGTGTTCTCATAAACAGGCACACACACCAGCCAATACAGTGTGGAAAACCCTGTGGCTTGACACTAGCCATGCACTGAAATGCCAACCCATCTCACAGTGACTGCAGCAGTGCAGGGAGACACACACTGTACAAAGAGATGAAGTCCTCAGAATCACTGCATAGAATCTTTCCATCTCATCTCCACAAGTTCTCAGTTCGTTTGTTCGTTTACTCTTCCAGCTTCCTTATAAAGCCATCAGTAGCCATTTATAAGAGACGTGGGAAATGCAATAATGTGTTTAAAGGAATCTGTCCCATATTTTCCCATTACCTGAAAAAGGGCCCTGTGATTCTGATTTGTAAATTCAGGTGTGTGTACAAAGAGCTTTCTTAAAATGGTCCACCTATATGGAGTTCCCCTTAGATTTTATTTTCCTTCAGTATGCATCAATCTGAACCAAAGGAAAATCATTTTTAAAAGAATGTTATTAAAAATAACAATATTATATCACTCTCAATAAACCAATTTACTATGTCAAAAAGTGACAGCTCTTTTGAACGTGGCATTGAAATATATTTTCCTCCAACACCATTGCAGAGCAAGATATGATTGAAATAACAATCGTAGACTTGTTTACAGTACACTCCATTGAATTGGTTTCCTCCTGAAAATAACAATATTATATCACTCTCAATAAACCAATTTACTATGTCAAAAAGTGACAGCTCTTTTGAACGTGGCATTGAAATATATTTTCCTCCAACACCATTGCAGAGCAAGATATGATTGAAATAACAATCGTAGACTTGTTACAGTACACTCCATTGAATTGGTTTCCTCCTGAGGATGTATGAAGGATATGAGTGGAAGATGGTGGAGGATGTGCAGTATTCAACCTGGGAACATTTACCTATTCAGACTCTGACTTTGTCTGCTGGCTCTAGAACACAAAGCACCCACACTTCCCTCCCACTCCTCCTCCTCCTCCTCTTCCTCCTCCTCATGTCCTCCCCACTGAGTCAAGCTACTTTCCTCCATTCAAAACCAAACGGTGGAAGGATACACGGGAGAAGGGAATGAAGGGGTGGTCTCTGTAGAGCAACACACACACACACACACACACACACACACTACAAGGAAGAACTGAGCTGTACCTGCTCCAAAGCAAAGACTGAGAACCTGGGCTCCCGTCTGTCACTCTGTCACTGTCTTGTCTGAAAGCTAAGGCAAGGCACCTTTTTCCTGCTGTGCCTCACTGCCACTGTTGGAACAGGAAGGACCAGGTACTGGCAATAGGCCTCCAGGTCTCTCTGAACCATTTCAGGCAGAGAACAGCAGAAGCCAAGACATCTTGGGAAGACCCTGAGTCTGCCAATGTCCCTCAGGAACCACTTCTCCTCTGCCTAGAATATCTTAATAGCCCCCTTATGCTTTCCTGACCTCCAAGATTATCCACCCTTGGCCCCCTGGACCTTCACAGGTCATCTTTCTACATGGTAAGTCTGACTGTGATACTACTGCCTGGTTGCAATTTTTCAAAGGCCCCAGTCAACCCCATCATCACCATTAGCAACAACATACCACATTTATGAAAACAATAACAACAACAAATTCTTTCTGGCTGCCTAACTATTCCAGGCACTGTGCTACATGCTTTGCAAATCTTAAAAATCATCTGCTTCTTGGAATAGCCTATGAAGCAGTTATTTCACAGAGTCTCAGAGAGGTTGAGCAATTGCCCCAGGGTTATACAGCAAGTAAGTGGCAGCACAGGAATTTAAACTCAAGCAATGACTCCAAAGATAATGGCAATAACCATCACACATAGCTTCCTTATAAAATAAATGTCAGCCCATTAGGCTGCCCCACAGTCTGTCCATAACCTAAACACCTAGTGCTCAGCCTTCTCTCACTTTGGGCCATCATACTTCACTTATGTTTCCTCCACAATGAATATCTACTGCTAAGTCCCTACACCTTTTCATAAGCCGTTCCTCCATTTAGAATCCCCTTTGACAAACTCATACTAATCCCCTGAAGCCCAACTGGAATGTCCCTTCCACCTCAATTCCAAAGCAGACCTTTATTCATCTCTTCACTCACCCAGCACACTCAAGAGATATCTAGCAGTCTATGTCTCCCAGCCCTATCTCCCCCATGTAAAATGAACGGACATAAATTAAAAGATATGGTGTGGTGGGCTGCCCATCAAAGATATCCGTGTCCTAGTTCCCAAAACCTGCAGCTGTCATGTTACATGACAAAAGGGGTTTTGCAAATGGGATGAAGTTAAGGGTCCTGACATGAGGAGAGTATCCTGGACCCTCCAGGCGGGGCCAGTGTAGTCATGACAGTCCTTATTAAGAGGAAGGCAAAGGAGATTTGACCCAGAAAAGGAGATGTGATGAGAAAAGCAAAGACTAGAGTGGCATACTGCTGGTGGAGGAGGGCTCACAGTCAAGGAATACGGGTGGGTACTGAAGGGTAAAAAAGCACACAGTACCCAGCAGCCTCCAGAAAGCAGGAGCCCCCACTGTGGCTGTAGCCTGATGGGACTGATTTCAGTCTTCAAGAGAAGACTGTGAGAAGACTCCAGAGCTGTGAGATAATAAATTTTTGTTGCGTTAGGCCACTGAGTTTGGTGATTTGCTATAACATCAAGGGAAAAGTAATACATATGCTAAAAGCTGTAACCAAGGAGGAAGAAAGAACTGCAGAATTTGCATGGTCTCCAGAGTCTCATCATCCAGCATGAACCAGTGCTCTGTAAGTGGGTGCTAAACACTAGAGTAACTCTCACAGAAGCTAGGAGACTTATACAAGGTTGCACAACTTGGAAGTAGCAGTGCCAGGCCACAGGTTTTAAATGCTTTACTTTGCCCTTTCCTCTAATTTGCGTATTTCCTCTTGTCCAGAAACCTTCATGACTTCCTGGGAACCACTGGACAAAGTCAAGTCCCCAACCAAGTATTCCCTTTGGCTTCTGAGGGCAGGCGGGTGGCGGTAAGCCATGGTGAAAGGGTGGAGATGGTGTGCCCTCTGGGTAGGGAACAGCAAGGTCTCTCCCTGGTCATGGGACTTCCCCCCAGGGAGCCATCCATCAGCTGCAGGAGCAGCTTAGAAGTTTTGTGCCTGATACACAGAGATCTCACCAAAGGACACCTCGGTACGCACACACATGGAGAATGTGCAATTGTTCCTTTCATGTGTCCTTTGTGGCATAAGCAATGCAAAGTTTAAAAGGTCAATTTAAAAGCATGTTCTTGCCTTTGAGTGAAAACTACTATGAACAACAATGCTGAAAAGATAAATCGAGGGCTTTAAAATGCTATTTCAAAGTGCCATTGTTTAGATGACCCAGAGACATGTCAAAGTGTGTGTCTAATAAATCCAAGAGGGCTGGGCAGCAGACATTCAGTTTGCCTGCTTTGTATGAGGTCTCCACATCCCACTCCAGCATTCTTTGCACCCTGTGGAGAGAGGCCAAGGTCAAGGCACTGTGGTCAGGGAACACAGGACCAGGATTCAAACCCTGACTGACCAAATCTTTGGCTCAATACAAAGAACCACCAGGAGACCTGGGATCTTGCCCTGCTCTCCCCTACTCTATGTGGCCTCAGGCAAGTCCCTTGCCCTCTGACGGCCACATTTTCCTCATCCATACCATGGAGGAAACTTGAGTGTCTATACTCACTTTGGGACATGGCCAAGTATAGGGGTCTGAAGGACTGCCATGCCCTGGTCATAGTCTTCTGGAAAGATACTTTACTGCCCTAGCACCCCAACACCATCAGCAGTAATTCTTTAGCTCTCGACACAATACAGACAGGAGATGGTACCTAATTCCTCTGCATCTGCTACTGGATACTTGGCTGGAAACTTCACTGGATTCCAAAAGAAAGGTGTCTTGTGAAAGTAAAGGTATTGGTCACTGACTATTATCATTGATGAAATATCAGAACCCAGTGTTAGTAGAGTTCAGAATAACCCCAATAATGTGGCATAAAAATCTAGAATGTAAGAAATACAAAAGTTTCCTAAGTCAAAGATATCCCAGAACACCTAACACAAGCAATGTAAATTTTTTAAGTCCTACAGAAAATATGCTTTTAAAAAGTTCTAAAACACATGAGGAAGTAATACAGCATGAGTGAAAACCAGCATACACAGCAAACAGGACTCCCAAGAACTAGAGATAATGAAAGAAAAATCTAAGAGATATTGTAAATTAGAGAGATTAGGGTAAATGGTTTTCTTTTTTACTTGTGTGTATTAATTGTACAAAGGAGTTTCATTACAGTATTTCCATACATGTACATAATGCTCTTTGGTCAAATTAGCCCTTCTTCTACTCTTATTTCCTCTTTCCCCTTCTAACCAATTTAAAAAGTTTCAA